ACTAAGAAAGTTTAAAGAGATACATACCTGAATTCACTTATTAAAGATTCATAAATGAAAGTTTTAGGTCTTTATTTATAGGCCCACAAAGTGAGAGGTTAAAAGACAATAATGCCTTATTTATTTTAAGAATTAGATATTCCACAAGCTGGTTTTCAAGTCTTAGAACAAAAGTAGTGATTTAAGATTTGCTTTAATAATTCTTTTAACTTCAGTCTCTCCCACTCAAATAACTGGTTTATAGAGTATAAGATGCATATCTTATGACTACATGTGCTATTCTTTTGATAGAAATCAAATTACATTTGTATTTTGTATTAACAAAGCCTCTTGGGCCATAAAAGAGAGCGGATGGGATCATTAACAGCAACAGCTGTTGTATCAATGTTAGAAAACTACATTCACACCACAAAGAAGTTTTACAATTTCCATGTTTCACTGTCAAAATTTTCCAATGCCTCTTCCTTTGCCTTCAACAGGCAATAAAATACAAAGCTTAACTTAAATCAGTCAGATGCTATAAAAGTCATTAAAGGAATGTTTTGAGAGTTTTTAGTTAATCAATCTTGTTGTTCTGTGCCACTGAGTTATGTGATCTTATGTACAATAACTTTAAAGTCTGCCCTATCTCACTGCCCAGTCTCATATCTCAGATACACCTACTCCCATTACCCGAGTTTCTGTATCAATCCATTTCATCTGGGGTTTTCCTCTCCTGCACTGTCCCTCTATCTTTCCAAGCATGATGTTCTTCTCCAAGGACTAGTCCTACTCTTATTTAATTCTGAAAACTACACTAACATTTTTCAGGTTAACTAGTTAAACTTTTTCTTATCCATTATTCAATATTGTGGTTCTTTTGTTTTAGAGTTTACAAAATGTTCATCAGTAGGTACAGCTCAAGCCCTCAAAAAAAAAAAAGTAAAGGCATTTTCCTAAATGTTTTATAGCTTTCCAATCTAATAATAATAATGGTGGCTATAAATACTATTATTCATATTTTATAGGAGAACAAACAGTATAATTAAGTACCTTGCCCAAACTTAAACTAGCAAGAAGATCCAGTACTTATATTAATCTAGGCAAGTAAACTTCAAAGCTTACATTCTGACTTTATTTTTCAAGGTTAACTCTTATATACAAAGCACTACAAATCCCTATTTTATATGGCTCAAAAGGAAAGCATTCATTAGGATGTAATTTGTATTTAAAGTCTGTTTAACAAGGTATATATAGCTTAATTGATGAGGAATCTTGAACTCTTGACTTACTGAAGATTCACATCAAGTCCAGCAGCTCAAAAAATGGTGTAGAGGCGGCATTTTTTGTTTCCTTAGCAACTCAACCTTTCTTGAACCAAATCTAAACAAAATTATCTAGGGATATTGTTGCTGATGTTAGATGGATCTTGGCTGAAAGCAGAGAATACCAGAAGAATGTCTATCTGTGTTTCACTGATTATGCAAAGGCATTTGACTGTGTGGATCATAACAAACTGTGGCTGACTCTGAGAAGAATGGGAATCCCAGAACATTTAATTGTGCTAATGCGAAACCTGTACTTGGATCAAGAGGCAGTAGTCAGAACAGAGCAGGGTAACACTGCATGGTTCAAAATTGGGAAGGGTGTATGCCAGGGATGCATCCTGTCTCCATACCTTTTCAACATGTATGCAGAGCAGATTATCCGAGAAGCTGGGCTCTATGAGGAGAATTGTGGCATCAGGATTGGTGGAAGATCTATTAACAATCTGCGTTATGCAGATGACACAACCCTGCTTGCTGAAACTGAGGAGGACCTCATGCACTTGCTGCGAAGGGTCAAGGACTGCAGCCTTCAGTATGGACTAAGGCTCAATGTCAAGAAGACAAAGATTCTCGCCACTGGACCAATTAGCAGCGTCAGGATGGATGATGAAGAGATTGAGAGTGTTCACAGCTTCAGTTTGCTCGGCTCCACAGTCAACACTCTTGGTACCAGCAGTCAGGAAATCAAAAAGCGTATCGCAATGGGAAAGTCTGCTGTTAGGGACCTCTCAAAGGTACTCAGGAGCAACAGTGTCTCTCTGGAGACTAAGGTGCGCCTGATACAGGCCATGGTCTTTGCAATCGCTTGTTATGCATCAGAGAGTTGGACAATGACTAGGGAGGACAGAAGGAAAGTGGATGCTTTTGAGCTGTGGTGCTGGAGAAGGGTACTGAATGTACCATGGACTGCCAGGAAAACAAACAGATTCATCTTGGAGAGGATTAAACCAAGCTACTCCTTGGAGGCAAGGATTCTGGGGCTTCGTCTGACATACTTTGGACATGTTGCCAGGAGGGACGGGTCCTTGGAGAGGGACATCATGCTTGGGAGGGTGGAGGGACAGCACAGGAGGGGAAGACCCTCTATGAGATGGATTGATTCAGTGACTGGGGTAATCGGGATGGGTGTGTCAGAGGCAGTGCGGTTGGTGCAGAATAGAGCAGGGTTTAGGGCTGTTGTGCATAGGGTCGCTATGAGTCGGAAACGACTCAACGGCACATAACAACAACAACAACAAATTAAAATCATTCTGATCCCCACTGATGATCAATGAATATCTTTGCGACTTGAGATCACTGAGTTGTCAGGTCCATTACAGAGGTAATGATACCTTTGGTAAAAAATGGCTCTGAACCAATTTATTCTGGTTCAACTCCTGTTGGTAATTTGCATTTCCACTTCAGATATACAGAATTCTATATTTTAACATGATCCCCAGGTGATTTTTCTCTATAAGAAATCTTTTTAAAGTGTAGATTCTGATTCAATATACAGGTATACAAAGCATAATGTGCACCATAAGTCCTATGAAATAGGGAATTAGATGGTTGGGGCATTGTGCAGACCACCACATTAAAACCTTACATGGTAAGGACAAATAGTGTATAAGACCATTACTGCAGAATGAGTATGAGGATCTGGGGAGTGGGGAAGGTAGAAGCTGAGGGGTGAGGATAGAGGAGGTTAATTAAAGGGTTGCACAATTTGATGGATGGGTAGGGGTGAAGGAAATGGGAAAGATCTGGTGTGAAAAACAATGTACACAAACTTTGTAAATAAACCCATATAAAATAAAATTTAAAAAAATACAAAAAATCAAATGTTACAGGAACCTGCTTATGGTTGTTCTTAACTGAGCTGGAGCTGCTAGCAGAGGCAGCAAGTAGCAGTGGTGTTGGGATGGGAGAGGGTGAGTCGGGAGGGATCATGGTGTACTTAGCCCTGTTCACCTGCCTATACCCTGGACAAATAGAGAGCTGTGACCACAGCCATGTCTTCTGTCTCTCACACTTGTATCCCACTCATGGTTCATCTACAAGAGTCTGGTTTAGGTTTCTTAAAGTCATTAGGGAGAAATAATAAACAAAGGAGAGCTGCTTTCCCTTTAAACAAATAAAAATTCCAAAACTTTATGGAACTGAGGACACAGATAGTGGACAATGCTTGGAAGGATTTTTTACAAGCTACAGATTCCTGTATCTGAGATAGAAATGTAAATTTTCAGCAGGAAGTTGAACCAGAATGACCTGTTGGAAATTTTACTACAGAATCTGGTGAGATTAATCTAACCTTCTTGAATTTCTTTAAAGAATTCTAAAAAAAGAATTATTTTCAAGGTTCCTTTGGGAGAAAAAAAAAATTAGCATTTGCCTGTGTAGCCAACTACTTTCAGTGCCAAGATTTCTGATTCTCGGATATTCATTCTGAATATCTGCCATGTGGGCAGTTATCAACAGCAGCTTTTCTCCATGCCTTATGCAGAATTAACAAAGACACAGCCTAAGGATATGCTTTAAATAGGATACAGAAAGCTAACACCTGAAATCTAAATTAGTAGCAATGGTTACATTATTTCTCTGAGTAACAGACTTCATCAAACAGTTTGAATGTTATTAGCATTAGCAAGCATTTTATGAGCTCGGATTACAGGCATTCCTGAACACAGTACAGGGGAAATCATGACTGTCATCTTCGTTCTTGAGGTATTTCCAAGAAACAATCTTTTCTTATATGAAATGAGCATAAATGAGAATCTCTTAGGAAATGATTACATTTTGGACACAAACTGCATAGAAAATGTAAAGCTGTTTTATTTAATCATTCACAATTCAGTAGCTAATATAAAGAGAAATATTATCCACAGCAGAAGGAGGAATAAATCCACAGACCCAGCACTGAAAAAGTTTCCAATCTGCCAGAACTATGTGAAGTGAAATGAGTTAATATACTCACAGAACAGTCCTAAATGTTTCCACTAGTTTCATAATGATTTTCACATACAAATACGATTCCTTGCAATCTCTACCTTTTCTAAGAAATGTGAATATTACCAGGGGAAATACCACTTCCTCTTCCCACTCAAGATTAATTTGCTCCCTCTGAGGAACTCTGGCACTTAGTGAAACATCTCTTTAAGAAGGACAACGCCTTGAGGCCCATGAAGTGTCCTATCTTGGCAGGGCCTCCTCCCAGTCAGAGAATGCCAGGTTTTCTTAGAGATCAGAGACAAGTCAAAAGAACTCTGATAAACTAGCATCCAGCAGGGGCCTCTGGTAATTATTGGTAGGTGCTAGATTAATGAAAGGATCTGCAGATGAGGTCCCTAACCCAAGCCACTCCAGACATCCTAGGGGGGTGGAGGGAAGTCTGCATTCTATTATTTTGCTTTATTAGTCAGTTTGGGTAGGAAAGGACTTGCAAAACAGCGCATGAATTTGTGAGGTCACCACACAGCTGGGCCTGGACAGTTGGCCGCTGTCAGGGGCCTCGGGGAGACTCCACCACACCCCTCGTTCCGCCCAGGGGCCGGGAAGCCAGGCTCTGTGGGTCTGACGGCTACTCAGGTCCCCTGACCTGGATTGCTGTCACCCACGCGAGGTCTCAACGGGCCCACTCTGCCCATCCTCCCCGACCCTCACCTACCTTCTCTTCCCTTTTGGGGTGCCCGCCCGCCCCAGAGGGTGCGAACTCACGGCTGCCGCGGCGCCGGTGAAAATGTCCTCTCCCTCAGTGTCGCTGTCCCCGGCCTCGGGCTCAGACCCTCCAGCCGCCCCCTCGGACTCGGGCTCCAGACAGGGAAAAGGCGGAGGGAGTCTCTCCGAAGCACTACAGCCGCCGCCGCCAGACGCCATCTTCCTGTACCCGCGGCGGAAGCCGCAACAACAACTTTATAGAGAGCGAGCCCCGCGAGCACAGCGCCCGGGCCGAGGGAGGCGTGGGCGCGCGGCCGTCGACCCGCGGACTCCGTGCCCGGCTTCGGCGAGGGGGCGGCGCCGAGCTTGTGGCATTCGTACAGGGCCCGTGGCCGGAATGCCGAGGGCTTCCCGAGAGGGCACAAAAGGGGGAGCCGCGGGCTGCTCGGGTGCCTACGGCCCTTTGTGTCCGGAAAGTGGGCAGATTTCCTTTGAATAAAGTGGGCAGATTTCCTTTGAATAAAGGAGTTTGTTAGCTTAGAAAGTTTGCAAAGCTCGACGGGCCACCTACTGAACACGGTGCCTTCAGACAGAGTCGCTAAACCCGATTGAGGTCTCCAGACAGACTCCAGAACGTCTTGCCGTTTTGTCCTTCGACAACGTTCACTTAACGCCCTCAAGAAATGTATAGTAGGCATCTACTGTATGCCCGGCACCCTGCTATGAATTTGAGATATGGGAATAAGTTTCTTGCCCATTAATGGAGCCCTGCAGGCCCAGATGATAACAAAAAGGTTGCATTGGAACCCACAGGCTTGCTTTCCAGAAGAAAGTTGAGGCAGTTTGTCTCTATAAACAGTTTCAAGCTTGGAAACTCAATAGGCAGTTCTTCATGCCCTGCAGGGTCACTATGAGTCAGAATCTACTTATGGCGGTGTGTCTCATTGCCTATTTAAGCATTCCCAGTTTAATAAGGGAAGGCAGGAATGTAAACTAACATCTTAACGTGTTCAATGTACTTTGGGAGTACAGTGAAAGATCATCCATTCTACATGGAGAAGTTGGTACACTTCACAGAAGATGTGCCACTGTCCTAACTTGTTGTTGTTATGTGCCCTCCAGTCATTTGCGACTCATAGCGACCCTGTGTACAAACAGCCCTAAACCCTGCTCTATCCTGTGCCAGTCGCATTGCCTCTGACACACCCATTACGATTACCCCAGTCACAGAATCAATCCACCTCATAGAAGGTCTTCCCCTCCTGCGCTGTCCTCCACCCTACCAAGCATGATGTCCCTCTCTCCAAGGACCTGTCTCTCCTTACAACATGTCCAAAGTATGTCAGACGAAGCCCCAGAATCCTTGCCTCCAAGGAGTAGCCTGGTTTAACCCTCTCCAGGATGAATCTGTTTGTTTTCTTGGCAGTCCAGGGTACATTCAATACTCTTCTCCAGCACCACAGCTGAAAGGCATCAATCTCCTTCTGTCCTCCCTAGTCATTGTCCAACTCTCTGATTCAACATAACAAGTGATAACAAAGACCATGGCCTGTATCAGGGGCACCTTAGACTCCAGAGAGACACTGTTGCTCTTGAGTACTTTAGAGAGGTCCCTAACAGCCGACTTTCCCATCGCAATACGTTTTTTGATTTCCTGGCTGCTGGTGCCAAGAGTGTTGACTGTGGAGCCGACGTTAATATTCTGTTGTTGTTGAGTAAGTGAAATGGATGGCAGTTCTAACATGCCTCTGAGTCAATTACAACTCACAGCAACCCTATGAACAACTGATTTGAAGCCTGCCTTATCTTGCACCATCTTTAGTGTATCTTGTCTTGCTTAAGCCCATTGTGGTAGCCACTCTATGTCAATTCATCTTGTTGAGGGTCTTCCTCTCTTTTGTTGACCCTCTGCTGTTTCCAGAATGATGTCTCTCTTTGCAAGGACTGGTTGTTGTTATGTGCTGTTGCACATAAAATATGAAAATATGACCAAAGATGAGACATATGAGACAAAGATGCACCAAGCTTGCCTCTAAGGAGCATTCTGGTTGCATTTCCTTTAAGATTGATTTGTTCTCTTAGCCCATGGTACAGTCCATTTACTTCTCCAGCACCACAATTCAAAGGCATCAATGATTCTTTGGTCTTCCTTATTCATTATCCGACAGCCAGCTATATAGGAAACAAGTGAAAATACCATGATTTGAATCAGGTGCACCTTAGTCTTTAAAGACATCCCTGTCCTTCAGCACTTTGTAGAAGTCCTTGACAGCAGATTTTCCCAGTGCAACATATCTTTTGATTTCTTGATGGCTGCTACCATTGGTGTTAATTGTGGATCTAAATAAAATTAAACTGTTGACCACTTCAGTCTTTTCTCCATCTATCATGATATTGCCTTTTTGTCTGTGGGTGAGGATTTATGTTTTCTTAATGTTGAGCTGTAATCCATATTGAAGGCCATGGTCTTTGATCTTCTATAGCACGTACTTCAAGTTTTCTTCACTTTAAGCAAGCCAACTCAGGACAGAGAAGGGTTCAGAGCTACTGTCATAACAGCACATAACAACAACAACATACTATATTGCTGCTGGTGGTTTTTAAAAAATTTTTATTTATTTAAGCCTCTTGTTTAGTGTCAACAAAACCTCAGGGTGGGCCTTTGTATTTAAAGTTGGTTGTTATTATATTTTGGAGGAACATTCTTCTAAATGGTACAGAACTCTTGTCAATATGCAGTAACTGAGGTAACCTGGGGTTGCTGTGATGCTGAGCCTTGTGCCATTGGGGTGTCAAATGCCCTAACGGTTACCTATGGTGGACAGTGTTTGGTGGAGCTTCCAGTTTAAGACAGGTTTGGAAGCAGGAGTGGCATCCACTTCCTAGAAAACAACATGCCTGTGGAAACTCTATGAACTTTGATAAATGTCAATAGTTATAGAAAGGCTTCAGGCTTTATTCATAGGGTCTATGAGTCGTGCTCAACTTGATGGCAATCAAAAACAACAACAACAA